AACTATATTAATTCAGTCAGTGTGCATATATAAGACTCTAAGTCAAGAAGAAAAGAAGAAAAGGAGCTCCCTTCAATCCAAACGAAGAGAAGAGAAGGATGTATAGAGAAAGAGAGAAAGAGAGAGATAATCTAAGAGGTCATGCAGTCCCCTTAAAGTGTGCTTTCTTCAAGATGTTAACCTACGCACTCTCTATGAGGAATCCATGAACTCTTAGATTTTGCTTTTTAGTTCCTCAAATCTTGTCCTCCTCGTTTTGGAGGAAGGGAGCTCCTTCTGTTACACTTGAAAAACAAGTGTCCAAAAGGAGTTTTAACATCTTTTTACTTTAAAACGAACCAAGAAACTATTAAGAGAGTTACACAGATATATATGTATGGTGATGGATTGATGAGGCTTATGAATTATGATGATGTGAAGAAAGAACATTGTTGTGTTTAAGTTGTTTTATAGATGAAAGAGCATAAATAAACCCTAGTCTACTCCTAGGGAGACGATTATGGAACAAGTGTTAATAAAAATGGAAAAATATAGAAGAAAAAAATGGCACTAAATCTTACTGTTATTAATTAGAGATTTAACATAATCTTGTTGACTAGATTCTCTTTTAGAGAGAGATACGGTCAGGGTCCTTTAGTAATTCTCGTAATTATGGAGTATTTGCAATTTCATTGCATTAAGACTATAGAGATAATTGGTTAGATTTTAAATGTACAGAAAATAATAACTAAACCGTAGGTACTTTTGTATATTGAAGAGAATCAGGCAGGTAGAGTTTGGTCAATCGCTATTACCGACACATCTTTGACTTGTCTCTTTTTTTTTTTAACCTTTATTAATCACCAAAGGTTTTTTTTTTTTAACCTTTATTAATCACCAATCAGGTAGAGTTGTGAAATTTTAGATGACTAAAGATTTGAACTGATCGGTTTAATTGTCTCCCCTTTACCTTAGATTTTATTTCTTCTTAATTACAAATGCCAAAAATAGTTGACCGGAGTTGTGTTCAATGTCAATGTATGTGAACTGTTGACAAAATTAGTTTTTTTTTTTTTTTTTTTTGTCACGGGGACAAATGAAATATTTAAGTGTTTAGCGTAGTTTTTTTAACGAGCATTAATATTAACCACAACCAAATAATTACTCCAACATGAGACACGAGTTATCAAATTGGTTCATGCTTGAGCCGGATCACTCTGGTTTCAAAGAAGAACGTAAACGTCGACTCTCGACACGAGCTTCCATCAGCTTATCCTTGAGAGTACGATGATTATCCTCTCTGATCATCACATTCACATTTCTCGGAAGAATCTTCGAGAAAGTTCTAGACTTTTCTTGACTCTCATGATCATCAACGTTCCTTGGACTACTCTCTGGATGAATCTTATCTCCTTCCGAAGACATAGATAGATTAAAAACTTGGCATGAGCTCTTCTTCTTAAGCTGCAATTTGTTATCTCTTCTTGTTCGCTTTTCAAGCCCTTCTTCGAGTTCCTTCAAGCAAACCCTTTGATGCATAGAAACCGAATCATCTGGTTTTGCTCTCAAGCCACTTCCTTTACTTGACTGTGATGTACTCTTCTCCTTAGCTCGCAAAAATGTTTTATCATCTTCCTCTAGCTTCATTTGTAATCTCTGGTCATTCCACACTTCTGCAATCTGCACAATTACTTTATCACTCACTGGTGACTTATTCCCAATTCTTCTCGCCTTATCTTCATAATCTTTAACCGCTTTTGCAAACTCATCGCAGAGATTTTCCACAACAACACGTTCTTG